TATATATATATATATATATATATACATCTATATATATATTATTTATACATATATATGTATATATATATATGTATATATATATATATATATATATACACATCTATACATATATGTATATATGTGTAATTTAGGGGGTCTCAAGCTTCAGGAAGTCACGGGAGTCTAGGTGGTGGAGGACGGTGTCCCTGAGAGTGTAAGATGGGCCAGTGACCATCCAGAACTTCTGAAAGTGTCCAGAAGATGGAGGTCTACTGAAACTGAAAATTCAGGCATTTTAACAGAGTCGTATATTCTGTAGAATAGTTTTCTTCCTTATTAATTGTGCATGCTCCGGCCCGACCGAGTACCTCCCCACCCTCCTGATATAATTTCTACCACCCAGGTTTAAAAAAAAATTATTGCATTTTCTCTAGCATTATAGGTGTGGCGATTATCATAGGTGTTTGTGCCTGCATCGTGTCTGCTTATCATGAAAAATCAAAGTTCCTTAAATCTGCAAATAGAGTCAAGGCGTACAAACCTGAAATGGAGAATGACGGGTTACCTAAATTAGTGCAGGTCAAGGTTTAACCTATAGCACTCACAAACCTGTTGCAATTATATTGTGACATAATCACCACATTGACGAATAGAAAAACATTCAAGAGATTGAAGACGTTACGGAACAGACTCAGTGGCGGATCTAGGAAATTAAATTAGAGGGCGCCAGATGGGAGGGCCGGGCCAGCACTCCCCCTAACCCCCTTTATTCAAGTTCCTTTTACCAAATTTTATCAAGTAGGTAGTGATCTTCGTCAACACCATCGCTGTTCCCCCAAAAACCAAACATAGATGAAATTAAAAAACAATCCTAAAATTGCTGGGCAAATATATGGAATATCGCTTGTTACATTCGAACTTTACCTAATACCATCAATAAATTCATTTAATGTTAATTTTTAAAATGTTTACAAATAATTGATTCATGTTAGTATTCAGTCCATTTATTCTTTCGATTGTGCTTATAGTTGTTAACAAATGTGTTCGTTTTTGTTTCTACTTAAAGATTGTAAACATTGGTTTTATAGATTTTACATTTTATTTATGCATTGAATTATTGTTAATTTCTATTTAATTTGTAGCAGTTATAGTTCTGAATCTCATTGGTTTGTAATTTGATATGGACTTGTCTGAAACAAAAGAAATTGTTTGATTGATTGTTGTTAGTATATTACTCTGTTGCTCTTGAACAACAACTCGGTCCCTTTCATGGGATTAAACATTGGTTTCATGTTACCTTTTATTTATGCATTGAATTATTGATTGTTTATTTCTATTTAATTTGTACAAGTTATATTTTTGAATCCCATTTGTTTTTGTAATTTGATATGGGCATATCCTGAAATACAAGTAATTGATTGATTGCTTGATTGTTGTCAGTATATTACTGTTGTTCTCGATCAACAACTCGGTCTCTATCATGGGACTTCAATGACTCGGGTTGTAATGTGTTTAAATACATTTTTAATGGTGGGAAGTACTATCATCTGCAATCTTTTGTAGAGTTGATGTCTGTAAACGTAGTTTTATTTCTAGACTTTCTTTACAATATAATTCTCTTATTTTAACTACTAATATTGACATTTTTTACAATAGCTTGTCTATATTTTGTTCTATTATAATTAATCATTGGAATAAGTGAGATTTTTGTACACGTTCGTCTGCATATTTGATATATTTAAATTTTATATACCGTACTCCCGCGAATAAGCGCCCCGTTTGAATAACTGCCCCTCCTAACGTTAAAATTTCCTTAAGCGCCCCGTTTGACCCTCATAAGATTTTCTTTTTAGCAAGTCAATAATCCAATCAATCCTGGGACTGTGGTTGTTGGCATGACTTGAGCTATAGAGTGGAAACGCATTCTTCTTCGGTCAATATCAAAATGAGGATATTTCATATTTCTCTTGGACAGATGAGAGCTCCGATCCCTGGACAGACAGTCTGAGTTTTTAAGAAAAAATACAATGATCCTGCCATCCTGCTAATCTCAATCGGCCGAGCATCTGCTATTTTGCTGTTATGTAAATATTAACTCATTCTTGTCATAAGCCATGTTCTCTGGACGATTATCTTTTCTGACCACCATTCGTAATGTCCTTATATAATATTTTTTTCATTCACAAAGTGCCTCTTGAATTTAATAATTTCCCATAAAAACCCCTCGATTTTCATCCATTTCCATAAGCGCCCCCCTCAATTTCCACTCTGTTTTCATAAGCGCATAAAATATTTTAAGCGCTTGGGCGCTTATTCGCAGGAGTACGGTATTTTACCAGCTTGTTAGTGGCGATCATTCGCTGTTTGTCTGTTGAAATGAAATAAATAATAAATAATCTTGAATCTATATTATTAAGGTAGTCGTTGATTTTAAAAACAATAAAAATACAGTATTCAGCCCTGGAGTCACACTATGTTTATTCTTTCTTTCTTTCTTATTAACAAAAAAAAAATGTTATTTAACTTAGTTGTGATTATTAAGTCAATTAATAGATTATTGAAGTAGCACCAATTTATCTTATTAGGTCAGGGGTGGTGCCACCTCAGAATTATGGGTGTAATAAGTTTTTATTACAGTACTTACAGTATATATTCATCATTCACTACTTTCCACCAGAAACCTTTAAATTCACAAAACAAACTGAAAAACCTACTATTTTGTCCTTATCAAAAGAGTAAACGTAGACATTTACTTTAATGCTGATGATATCAACACTATCTTCTTGTGTCTACGACTTTATAAACATCCTGCTGACATAAATTCATCAATCACATCACAAACTAACACAATCCAAGTAGATTGTGTTAGTTCGTGAAATCACAGTAGCGCGTCAAAACGAGCGTGTATTGGTTGTCAGGCACTTTCCTATTCCTTGTCACACAAAAAGTCTCTTTTCTTTAATTTGATTGTGTTAGTTCGTGATGTGAGCGACGAATTATTTATATAATGACCCTGTGACCTCCACAATTCCTGTTAAGCACTGTCCAGACTACCAAAGTATTTGACAAAAAGATGCTTATGCCTAAATATGGTCATGATGACATCATATCATGACCTATATAAGCACATCATGACTATGGGCATACAACAGCTTTTTTCAAATAAAATTTGATAGTCTGGAAAGGGCTGTATTTAAAAAAAATATATCAATAACATATTCAAATAAATTTTACCCACATTTCACTTTACATATTTATGAATTTTGCTTTTTATAGTAAATAAATAATAATTATATTTAATGTTGATATTAAATTAAAGTGAGTTTAACATGATTTCATGAAATTCAGAAGACCTTAATTATATTGACCTGGTTTCCATTAAAATCATGTATGTATCTTGTAAAAACGTATTCATTCAAAATATCAATACAAATATCCACTGCTATTTTAGGTTGAAATTTAAACAGGTAGAAATTAAAGTGATATTTTACAGTAAAATATTGACCCCATGTCGCTATATTACATTACAATAGTGACCTGGGGTCAATATTTTACTATAAAGAAATGCTAGATTATGTTTAGCCATTTCACACCTAGCCTTATCTACTGTGTATTTTTCCACCAATCAACATCAAGCTTCATTTCCCAATCATGTTATTATTTCCCTGTTTGGATTCTCTGTAGAAATTATTCTCTTGGTGAGCATCTCAATCAAAACATAGAGACATTCTCAACAATACTTGTTACTTGTTACTTCTATAGCGCTTTCCTTGCGGTTATAAAGCGCTAACACTATAATTAATATTTCCTCCAAGTACAGCACAGCCCAACCAAAACCAACAGAGTATGCTCTCACAAATCATAGACCAAAGAAAATTAATGGTAATAATGAATAAAAAGATTCAGAACACTATATGTGGCAAAGACCAGCCAAACCAGTCACTCGTCGCAAAAACCTATTTTGAGTTATTAATACAGTGTTAGAGAGTACAATAATAGCTATAAAATGGTAAAAAAATCATTCAAATCGGACATTTCCTTATGAAGTTACAAGTGTTTAATCCACACAGCTGTTTAAAGAACAATATATGAGAAATCAGCCTTCAAAGTTTATGATTTCAGGCATTTCTCATGCAGAAACTATCTTTAAATCTTTAAAAAGTGTTGTTTTAACATTGAAAATGGGGAAAATAACAGCATAGGATGGTGTGTAGATATATAAAGGTTAACTTAGCGCATTAAAATAGATTTTTTAAAAATTGACATTTTAGCATGTTTTGGCCATTTTCTCTGAAACACGATTTGCGACGAGTGACATGTTTAGCTTTCTAATAAAACTTGCATCAAAATAACATCAACCTCCTCCCACAGGACAGGAAATTTACATTTAAACAATATCCATGATGAATGCGGGCACAAAAAACTACTATTTTTTAACAATTTAACAGTTCTTTGTTTTAAAACAAGCTCAAATAAATAATAATGTATGGGTTTTAATGCAATAAAAATGTTGTTTTTAATGGACAGCACATCCAAAGTGGTTCTACTGAAACTGGTGTGCATGAATTCAGTGTAGGGGCAGTCTTCGAGATGTAGGCGTCGGTTTGGATTGAAAATTCTGGCTTGTTCTTTCTTTTGTCTTGGAAAAAAAAGCAAATTAAAATATCTTGTTAATGTAGAAAATATTTCATGCTACACTTAACAATACAATTCTTTATTTTCTGTACTACGGGTCTGCGAGCAGCGGTAGCGCCAGAAATGTACTGACAAGGGGTCCAACATGTCTAAACCAATGGGCTGACTAAAGCCTCAGTCGAGGGCCGAATACAAAAAATCCCTGGTAGGGTTCACGGGTAGAGTTTATACAGCTTAAAATGGTGCAAATTGTGCTTTTAGACCACAATATTAGAGATTAGCAATCAAAGTAACATTATTTGGATAGCCAAATTATTATTATTTTTTAAATTTTTGACCTAGTCGTGTCGTCAGATGATCGGGGGTCCGGATCTGTCTGACGGGAGGGCACAATCCCCTTGGCCCCTCCCCCCGCTGGCACCACCACTGGTTGCGAGTTATACCGATAGATGTACACTTTCTTATATACTTGCAATCTGTTGCTTTAGGAAATGTGTTCGCTCATTGAGTTCAATGAAACAATTACATGCTGATAGAAATATGTAGATAGAATCTCTGAGTACATGTGAGTGTAATAAGGTTAATTGAAAGTGCTATGATCGCCAATGCAATAAATGTAAGATATCGCAGCGGTTAGGAAGTAAAAGAGGATGATGATATGATGGTATTGATAATGATGATGATGAAGATGGATGATGATGTACATGTACAAAAAAGTGATAAAAAAACTAACATGAGGGGGAACATGAAAGAGGATGACGATGGCATTGATGATAATGACATTGATGAAGATGGATGATGATGTACAGGAAGAGGAGTAGAAAATTAATTTTTAAAAAATGACTAACAGGAGGGGAAATAAAAGAGGATGATGGTGTTGATGATAATGATGTACAAGATGAGAAGAATAATATAAGTTGAAGAAGACGAGGATGATGATGGTAAATGCAATAAACTAATTACAATAATAATAATACATGTAATAACAATGACAATAATTTTCTATTTACAAAGCACATATTGCTAGGACTGCCTCTATGCCATTTTAAGCCAGTTTTACACTAGGCAAATTTATTCACATGAATTAAAAGCGTTGATTTGCTTCCTGAGCTCTGATTGGTTGCTCATTTTTCGCTTTGCAAAAATAACAAACAGTTCGAGCTATTGATTTCGCTGAAGCGAAAAACTCCAATAGAAAATGAACCTATGCTTTTGATTTGCGCATATAAATTTCCTTTATATCAACTTAAGCTGCATTCACACCAAATCTGAGTTTTCGGATTGGAAGGCTTATCGAATAAAAAAATCGTATCAGTGTGTAAGAATAGGTATGCTGGCATTCAGCACATCAAAAAGATGGTCTGAATTTTGGTTCAGGTTCGTTGTGAATGCAGCGGCAAGGTGTTTTAATATAACATATTTAAAAGAAATGAAAGTATGGTGGCAAACAATGCAGTCTCATAGGCTAAAATATCCACCTCTGCACTGGCGTAATCCTTGACCTCTACGTTAAACTAAGGAGTATTAATAAAGGCATATTAAGCTACATTTACACTAGACACGACGACATATTATCGCCTCGTTTATATTCTTCAACACTGAGTGCATATTCATCGGGTCGTTATGGTGTCTAGTGTAAACGTAGCTTTACTCTGAATCGTCTTTATGCGCTGAAAACCACAACCCAAGGTATAAAATGAAAAGAAAGTGCTACGGGAAAGAAGCAGGTACTTAGTACAAAGGCTGAGTTAGCATAGGGATGTGATGTAAATTACAATAAGGAAAACCCACTATAGTAATTGTTTCCAGTGGGGTCTTTCTGGAGAGACAATCCCCTACTCTTTTCCGAAGAACGTACTGCATTCTTTATGTGGCCATATTTTACACGGGACAAACGGTTTAAATGTCTCATCCGAAAAGACAGTGCGCTATAACTTACATTTCAGCCCTTTAGCTGAAACACAAGGAGAGGCAGCGATGGGAATTAAACCGGGGAACTAGAGATCTCCATTGTTCAGTTCACTCTAAGTGGAGATCAAACCCCGATTTTCAGGTCCCAAAGTGGTCTCGAATTTGAGGGGGCCACTGTATATGACTCTGCTGGTAGTGTTAATAACAATGACTGCTGTTTACTTACAAACACAGTTGGCAGTGGGTTGTCTGATGCGTTTTCTCTAGCAGTACTTGTCAAGGGATGCCTTCTATGGTGATCTGATCGTGGGCTGACGGCGGGTGACGACTGACGTGTCGTATTCTTGGACTGTATACCTGAGTCGGCCATTCTTCGCTTGCTTAAATTTAGTACTATTTGTTTCATTACAGCTACTTCCTATTGATAATGATAACAATCATATATACAGACATTTAATATGCAATTATTATTTTGGCATGTCTTTTTGCACTTCACATTAGCACCATAGTCATACACATAAATGCATCGTGAATGGATCCAATCCATTTTGCCACTACAATTTAAAATTTCAATACACACAATACCATGCACTGTACTGAAATAAGAAAAAAAACAGATTACAAATACAGAATGTTTAATATTGCCTCAACGTCTTCATTGTCATACTCCCCACTTTCTGGCAATTCTGGCACCTCCCCTGGTTCGAATCTGCGATAAGTTTGGGGAAATAAGATCACACTACAAGATAAAATTTATGTTATTCTTACTTGTCGTTGATTTAACAGTCTTTCCATATCCGCTGACAATTGATTCTTTGTTCTGTTGATTTCATTTCGCTCTTGTTTTAATGACCTGTTGATGCATGAGACAATAATAATAACTATTAATATTGTGTTAAAGTGTCACTATCTGCCATTCATTCATTGGTTATATGTAAGTTCTACATATTTAGCGCATAATGCAAAAAGCTTCTATACGCTTCACAGAAGCCAAATGGCCGAACGGTAAAAGGTAGGGGCGCTGCTAGCTACAGCCTTAACATCGCCGCTGGTTTCAGCCACTCCTCGCCCATGCTTCGGTTGGTAAAACCAATTCTTCTCGGATGACTTAAAATGGAGGTCCAGTGTGTATACATCTGGCTTGTGTGCACTTTAAAAAACTCATTGCATCTTTTGGAAGATCAGTGGGTTACCATGATGTTATGGTTCATTTCAGCCCATCATTGTGGAATGATGTGAACATATAGCTACCATGAAGTGCCTCTTTGCGGCTGCTAGGTAGTCACGGACCACGCCCATATGCGATTCAGCACAACGACGCTGCAATTTATGGGTTATTATCTTTACCTTTAGTTCATTTACCTAGTTTTTGCCAATAGAACTATTTATTATGATTAATGACTAGATGTATAAACAAATAGTATATATAGAAAAAGAGAGCCCAATACATTTTGGGAGCGTGAATGAATGATACATCCTTACATAGATGTTGAAGGATGGCCACCGCGTACAGTCTAACTGTGTACTGATTTACCAAATGAAGCAGTACTGTTGTAGAGGGCAGTAGATTTGCTTCATTTTCTTTATCATCTCACCATTAAAACAGACATAAACTCACACATAGTGGGCACATTCCATGAAAACAATGGTGACTTCTATCATAACTAAGGGAGTGATGTATCTATATTCTTTGGAATAATCCATTAACTGGATGATTTCTTACCTGATATCATCTTCCAGTATTGATATATGTTCTGAATGTTTATCAATCTGCGAGTCTCGTGTACGGATGCTCTCTATCAGATAATGGTAAGGCTGCTGTGCTTGGTCAAGTAAACTTGTGGCATTTGATAACTGCAATAAAAAAATAAAACAGAACAGAAAATGGTACAGTATTGGAAGACCTTAGTTTAAAAGCAACTGAAAAAAGAACATGGGTGTCCAAGGACAACTATGGGTAAATGAGGATAGTATAATGTTCTAAAAAAAAGATTTATTATTTTATAAATTGTCTTTAATAGGAGTCGGTCTGTATCAATTGTAGAGGTGTTTAATTGGAGAAAGAAATGTACGCCTAAATTATGTAGGCCTACCATTTAAATATTGATTTAATTTAAATGTCTAAATCATGTGTGTTTTACATACTGTTATTGTGTTATATTTTTTATTACTATATGGTATTTCTTTCTTGTATGTACGGATGTACGGTTCTTGTATTAGTGGTGGATTCGGGGTGGGAGGGTGGTGGTGCTTACATTTCAGAAAATACTTTTTTTTAAAACAGACAAAAAAATAGGTACTTATTCTAATGAAAGATTGAGTGTGCCCTTTCTGGCCATCTAGAGATGCCACAGCAAAAAGGTTTAGTAATCTGTAAAAGTCCAGGGCTCCTACTTTTTGAATTCCTAGATCCACCACTATAAAAAGAATCACAAATTGTGTCTACAATTGATCAGCTTACCTCATTCCCAAGCTGCGACAGTTTTGTTTTGCTTTGGTCAAGTTCCTTCCTCAAAGATGTATTGATTCTCTCTAAATTTAAAACCCTTCTTGCTAAATGTACACTGAAAACAAAGAATTTACAAGAAATTTTGAAATGTCTTAGCAATGATGTAATGGTTAAGCTCAGGCAGTACCTAGCTATGTCTGAACATAATCCATATCTTTATTATATCTATCACTGTATGAGCAATGATGTGAGCAATTGAGGTGCTCATTTTCATTTTTAGCCATGTTTAAAGATTTACTGTCTCTCATTAACTAGAGTACTTGAAAAAACCCATTACATATTTGAATCGTCCAACTCATATATATAATTAAGTAAAGTCGATTATTACGTACAATTACACATTTAGATGAGAAGATTTAACAACAAACTTTAGCAGCTGAGAATTTAATTTTAAACCTTTGAGGATTTTTGGGAGAGAAGAAATTCTTAAGCAATGATGTAATGTCTCAGCTAATCTAATTTTTAATTTTGTGGTTTTGGTTTCCGTTCCATCTTTACACTTGCCTGATAGCGCTTAGAGTTTTTGTATTTTGCGCTCTATAAATTAATAACCATTAACCATTAACC